ATATTAAGGTCCTAAGTAATGAGTAATTAACAACAAGATATTTATATTTGCTTACCTGAACAACTGTGACAAAATTGTAATACAACCTGTTTCTCTCACAAGTGTTTGTCCACTTCCTTAAAAAAAGCCATATGTTATGTGAATATAATTTAGCAATAATTTGCGTAAATGTAAAGCAACATTTAAGTAGTATTTTAACAAACAATTATCTGGGTTTTTTTTTTTGTTTTTTTTTTGATACTGGGGATTGAATTTGGGACCTTGCACTTGCAAGGCAGCAGCGGTATCACTGAGCTAAATTCCTGGCCCTCAACAATTATCTTTTAAATTACTTAAAAGTATTATAAAGCATAACACAATTATTGAGATAAAAATCTGTAATCAAGATTATTATGAAAATATGCTATGCTTAGAGGCTGACAACATTCAAGTTTCCTATTAAAATTATGAATTATTTTGCATTATGATTCTCTCTTAATATGCTCTAAAATAGAAAAAAATAAATATATTTTCTAGTTTTTCCAAAATAGCAAAGATAAAATATAGATGCAATTAAATGCCTAACAACTTAACTAAATAAGTGCCTAACAGAAAGGGAAAGGAAACAAATAAGAGAAGAGGAAAAACACAGAAACAAAGTCTTTGTAAATAGGGAGGAGTGAAGATCATGAAGGGAGCACAGGGAAATGGGGAAAAAATAGAAACCAAGACTTATCACGTACAGGTACAAATCCCAATGATGAATGTCATCATATTGTATACCTAAAATGTACCAATAGACTTAATGAATAAAAAAATTCCCACCAAAAATATATTATTCCCTTATAAAAGTTCTCTCTGGATATTGTTTTTTTAAAAATACCTAACAACCAAGACCTGGCATGTAAAGGTACAAGATCCCAGTAATGAATGTAACTGTACTGTCTACCTAGAATGTACCAATAAATTCAATTAAAAAAATAAATAAAAATACCTAACAAGTTAACTAAATAAAGCAATGTTTTAAAATAGTGCTGGGGATTTAGCTCAGTGGTTCTGCCACCTGCCTTGCAAGCACAAGGACCTGAGTTTGACTCCCAGTACCAAAACAAACAAACAAACAAAACTTTATCCATTTATTGCTTGATGGGCATTTGGGCTGTTTTCAGGAGTTAGTGATGAATGGATAAAGATTTTTTTTAATACAATAGCATACTACTCTACCACAAGAAGGATAAACTTGAAACATCTCTAGCTAAATGGATGCACCTTGAGACTGTATCCCCCCGCCAGTACTGGGAATCGAACACAGGACCTTGCACTTGCAAGGCAGGTGCAGTGCTACTGAGGTAAATCCCCAGCTCCTAGAGACCATCTCTTAAGTGAAATGAATCAGACACATTTTAAAATACCACATTGTTTCTCTGGTGTGAGAAACTGAAATTGTAAATAAAGACCAAAATGTTTAACAGATATTGGGAAATGAGAAGAAAATGTTCATATGGGAAGGGAAACAAAGGATGGGGGAGAGATAAAAAAGGGAAGGGTCAAGAAGTAAAAAGAGAATAGAGAGAAGAAATGGAAATAAAGCTTTTGTAAATGAGAGGAAGAGGGGTTGAAGGGAGGGGAGAGGAATAAAAAGAAGAAGCAAGATATATCAAGTGCACGTACAAAATCCCTATGATGAATGTTATCATTATGTATATCTAAAATGTACCAATAAAATAAATGTTATTCTGGGCAGGAGGTATATGAGAACATTCTATACTATATTGACAATTTTACTAGAAATCTAAAATTATCTCAAATTCCTAAAGTAAATCACTTTACTATTTTTTGAAATAAATCATAAGTGATTAAATGCATGCTATTAATTCCTTTTCTAAAGCTAGTATTTCTAAGACGTTAAGGAGATTTGAAAAAAGATATTAATATAAGGGCTTTCAGAAAAAAGACTGATAATGAATATTACAATTTATTATTTAAAATGTTTTAAATATTCATAGGAAAATGTACTTACGATTATTTGAAACCAGAACCAAAATAACATAGACAGACATTCTTTTCAAATTTGTGTTTGAATCATCACTAGATATGAACAAGGTTAATTCTTCAAATAACTCTGAAGTACACAAACTTTGCTGACAGTAAACTGAAATATAAAATATAATTTTAATTTCAAAGCATTAGCATAAACCAATTTTAAAATATGCTGAATAAAATACAAAGTTGCCAAACTCAAGATAGTTCTCAATCAGATCTCATTTAAATGACACATACTGGAAATGCAACAAAATTTCTAATGAACTAGGGTCGGGGATTTAGCTCAGTGGTGCTACCACCTGACTTGCAAGCACAAGGTCCTGAGTTTGATCCCTGGTACAAAAAAAAAAAAAAAATCTATGTGTTTAAGTAGCAGATCAAAGCAGTGGTATCTTAATCATAACTACTCAGCCAGGTGTGGTGGCGCACGCCTGTAATCCCAGCACTTGGGGAGGCTGAGGCAGGAGGATCCTGTGAGTTCCAGGTCATTCTCAACTACATACTTGATGTAGGCTGGGCATGGTGGCGCATGCCTATAATTCCAGCACTCAGAGGCTGAGGCAGGAGGATCACTGTGAGTTGGAGACCAGCCTGGGCTACATAGTGAGCTCCAGGTCAGTCTCAACTACACAGTGAGACTCTGACTCAAAAACAAAAACAAAAACAAACAAAATTACTTGATCTAGGTTCTAAAACATGTATTAAACTTCCCTAGAATTTCCAATAAAAAATAAAATCAGACAAAAAATTTCAAAAGGATAAGTAACAGAGCAAGAAAAATAAAATTCAGAAACCTGCTTTGGAAAACAGAGGAACAAACCATTTATGCTATTTTTGAAACTTTTTTTAAGCAATAAAATGCTTTTCAGCTAAGTATGGTGGCACATGCCTGTAACACCAGCTACCTGGCAGGCTGAAGCAGGAAGACTACAAGTTTAAGTTTAAGGCCTTTCTGGGCATCACAGTGAGACCCTCAAACAAATAAGCAAAAAAAAAAAAAAAAAAAAAAAAAAAAAAAAAAAAAAAAACGAAAAAAAGAGAGACAAAGTTTTTTGTTTTTTTAAAAAAATGATACCTATATAACAGTGAGTTTTTTTTGTGTATGTGATACTCATGCAAGAAGTATAATTTTATAAAAATTAATTTGGGGGCTCATTGGTAGAGCATATTTTTACACGTGAGAGGCCCTGGGTTCAATCTTCAGCACTAAAAAATAAAAATAATATTTTAAATACAGTAATATAATTGGCCTTCTCTCCAGTGCCTAGAATCAGTTATTAGACCCTCTTTCAAAGACACCATCTTGATTATTTTTCCCTGTATCCTCAATTTATAGTATAGAACTTGATTCTTAAAAGTTGATGAAGACATATTTAATAAGAAAATATAAAAATATAAAGTTAGTTTAACAAACTGATGGTTTAAATTCAACCTCATTTCAAGTATATTGTAGAAAAGTGTTCTTGTCAACATGAATTTCTATGCCCAAAGTATACAAGCTGGTTGTGGATCTCTTCATCTTTTGATAGAAGTACTTGGATAAACTATTCAAATATATAAAAAAGTTATTAAATTCTAAAATTATTAGCTGGGCATGGTGGCACACATCGCAGCACTTGGGAAACTGAGGTAGGAAGATTGCTGAAAGTTCAAGACCAGCCTGGGCTACATAGTAAGTTCAAAGCCAGACTGTACTACATAGCAAGACTCTGTCTCAAAAAAAAAAGAAAGAAAAAAAAGTTTTTGAGTAAAGTACAATACATGCTTAAAAGATAACATAATTTTATATTTTACCATTTTTTTCTGCAACAGCTCCTAATGTAAATAAGGCTGCTTCCTTTACCATGCTGTGTCCACTTGACTTTGCAAGATTTTTTATAAACATCAAACCACCAATTTCCCGAAAATAAACACTTGCATCACCTGTAAGGTATGGAAACAAAATAGAAATTATCTGTATGTGTGTTGGTGTGTGTATAGGTTATTCTATCAAGAGTAAAGAAAATGAAGAATATAAACAGTAAATGAGAAGAGAAAGAGCTATACATAATTAACTTATCACAGTACTAAAAAACTAGAATTATGGGTAAAAATTCACTATCATGTCTTACTGTTTTGTTGGCAAATTGAACAAATAGTGACCAATGCTTCTTTTTGTGATAAAGGGTTGTCCATTTGATACTTTAGACACTCCAATAATAAGTTCAGGTCAGTCTTCACCTCTGAAGAAGAAAAATTTCATTATTTTAAGCCTAAGTTTTCTAACCATCAAAAATCCACTTTCTAATTACATGTCTTTGCAATGTTGACTCATTTCTTTTCTATATAGTTCGGGATGGCCTTGAATTTTCTACTTGGCCCAGACTGGCCTGAAACTTATGATTCTGCCTCAGCCTCCTGGGTGCTAGAATTACAGGCATACACTACCACACCTGACTGGAATGTCTGACATTTAAAAAATATTACTTTCATACTCTAACAAACCATAAAGATGTATGAAAAGAAAGATGTTCTTTAAATAAAAGAATTTAAAATGAACTTCTTATAGTCCTTTGGTTTTCCTCTTGCATATAAAACAGGAATAGTAAATATAAATATTATTCTCTTTAAGCAAGGCTACACTGGTTTAAATATCTTCCATTTAGAAATGAACTGAATGAAGCAGGTGTGGTGGTGCATAACTTACCAAGACCCTATCTCAAAATAAATAATTTTGAAAAAGGCTGCGGATGTAGCCCTGTGTAGAGGCCCTGGGTTTAATCCCCAGTACTGAAAAAGGAAGGAAAGAAGGAAGGCAGTTAGGCAGGCAACCAGTTAAGAGGGGAGGAGGGAGGGATGAAGGAAAGGAGGGAAAGAAGGAGGAAGGCAGGAAGGGAATGAATGAAAATACAATGTATTAAGTTTGTAAGATGCTATTAAAGCAGTATTTTAGAGGAAATGTATAGCACTAAATACTTAAATTAGAAAATAAGAGTTTCAATTGGTGACTTCAGCTTTCACCTTAGGAAACTAGAGAAAAGCTTGATGCTGTGCACATACCTGTAATTCCAGCTACTTGGCAGGTTGAGGCAGGAAGATTACAAGTTTGAGGCCAGCATGGGCAATTTATTGAGAGCCAGTCTCAAAAACTAAAAGCCAGGTGTAGTGGCACACACCTGTAATCTCAGCACCCAGGTGGTTGAGGCAGGAGGATGGCCAAGCCTGGGCTACATAGCAGGACCCTGTCTCAAAAAAACAAAACTAAACTAAAAAGGTCAAAAGAGTGACACCCATAGGTTAAACCCCAAGTACAGAAAAAACAAATGAACAAGAAAAAAGAGTAAATTAATCCCAAAGTAATCAAGAAAGGAAAATTATAAAGATGAACCTGAAATCAGTAAAGTAGGAAAACTAACAAACCTGTAGCCAGGCTGATTTGGAAAAACATGTACAGATACAAATTACTAATATCAAGAATAAAAGAGATGGCATCATTACAGATTCCACAGATAATACAAAAGGTAAAAAACAAGCTGGAGATGATGTCGATGCATGCCTGTAATCCCAGCACTCGGGAGACTAAGGCAGGAGGATCGCTGTTAGTTCGAGACCAGCCTAGGCTACATAATGAGTTCCAGGTCAGTCTCAACTACATAGTGAAATTCTGACTCAAACAACAAAAAACAAAAAAAGGTAAAGAACAGCATTACACACAACTTCGTATCTATAGATCAATGAAATGGGTGACAAGTTGCTTGAAAGTTATAAATCAATACTCAGAAGTAAACAGATAACCTGGATAATACTATATATATGACAGAAGTTGAAATCATATATTAAAGTTTAATCATACATTAAACCATGTAGTGGAATACTACTTAATAAATAAAAAGAACCACTGATACATGTAACACAGACAAGTCTCAAAATAACTATGCTGAAAGAAGCCACAGAAAAAAGTATATATTATATGATTGCATGTACTTAAAAATTAAAAACTAGTCTATGGTAAAAGAAGATAGATCAGTGGTTGCTTGGGGAAACAGCATCCAGGAAAGGACAGAGGGAAGGTTATTCAAGGACAGGAGGATATATTCACCATCTTGATTATCCTGATGTTTGCACAGCTATATACATATGTCAAAGTTATCAAAATGTAAATTGTAACAAAACAGCAAACAGTATTTAAACGAAGTTATATGTAGGCTTTGGCATAATGCTTGAATTAACATTTAGAATTCTGAAAGATATAGGATGAAGGGTAGACATAATATAAAGAAACACATTAAAGGAAATTAAGATGTATCATCAGTCAAGGTTTAGTCTTCCTCTTGAAACAAATTCAACTCAAAATTTGTTTCAAAGAAATATTTTGTTGGTGAAAAACTATAGTACAAAAGTTATTACCAAGTTGTCTTGAGGAAAGAACAGACAAGTGATCACTTAATACATTAACAAAAACTATATGATGGTGTTAAATATGTTACTTAGCTATCAATAAGTAACATCAACAACATGCCAAAGAAAACTGTGATAGAAATAGTGGTTTTCAATTTAAGGCACAATACAAGATGCACAAAACTTCTTTATGTACTTCTCTATAACCTTCTGTACTTCCCTGTCATACTTTTAGATCTCCTATCATACTCCTTCCCTTCCCAACCAAACCACCTATTGACCTCTACAACTAGTATGTTTCATTTTGGTTTTGTCATCTCTAGGCTGAGCAGCCAGTTCAGTTTGTAAAGGAACAAATTCCTGGGGTCAGGGATTTAGCTCAGTGGTTCTGCCGCCTGCCTCACAAGTGCAAGGTCCTGAGTTTGATCCCAGGTACAAAAAAAAAAAGTCCTGAAGAGAGCAAACAAAAATAAATACAATACGAAAAGTCTAAGCCACAAAAGAAAATCTGATAAATTAGGTTTAAAATTTAAAACAATCAGTGCTCTATTCCCCTTTACACTGCAACATAAGTCCTAATAACACCTCTTCTGGATGGCATATAAAAAATTTAAAATGGGCATGGTAATTCCAGCACTCAGGAAGCTGAGGAAGGAGGATGAGTTGGAGGCCAGCCTGGGCTACACAATGACTCCAACACCAGCCTGAACTATATGGTGAGACACTATCTCAAAAAAGAAAAAAATTTAAACTGTCAAGCTTTAAAAGATACCATTCAAATGTGAAAAGTGCCTAGTCTAGAAGAAAATATCTATAAATCAGATATCCAATAGAGATTATGTTCAGAATATTTAAACTCTTAAAACTCAATAATAAAAAAGACAATCTAATTAAAATGTATACAAAGACTCTGAATGCACATTTCTGCAAAGAAGATAAATTGCCAATAGGTATATGAGAATATAAACAGCATTACTCATTAGGAAACTACAAACCAAAACCACACACAATTAGACACCACATCAAGCTGCTACTAAACGAATGAATGATGGGAGATGACAGATAAAAACCCTTCACGTTTTGGCTGGGATAACCCAGGGATCTAAGTTCCCCAGCTTCCTAGGAAGGTTAAGCTCCAATACCCATAATAATGATAATGTACTCTTTGGTCTACCTTTCCCTTCTTATCTCAGTTCCTCACTTCCAAGCTAATGTGTACCAGAATCGTTTCTCTTGGAAACTACTTAAACCTAAATCCATGTTTCAAGGTCTACGTTTTGGGGTAAACCAAATTAAAATATAAAATGAAAGAGAATGAGAGAAATATAAAATGAAAGAGATACAGGGCGGAAGCATGATAAATGGAGGAGGCATCACCAACAGTTATCTGTCTTTCCACCTTCTTCAACTTTTTCTTCTCCAGAATCTCTAATTCTCTCTTCAAAAATTCTTTGTCTCTATAATCTTCTATGACTTCCTTGACAAGCTGGGCACAACAGCAGACACTTGTAGTCCCCTCTTCTTGGGAGGCTGAAGCAGAACGATCCATTGAAGCCAGTTCAAGGTCAGCAGGGGCAATATAGCAAGACCCTGACTAAAAACAAAACAAAAAAAACCCCAAGATTCCCTTGACTTTGGAAATTCCCTCTAGCTACTGCCATCATACACCTTTAGTTAAATTTCTTTTTTTATTTTATTTGTTTTGGTACTGGGGATTGAATTCCGGTCCTTGCATGTAAGAGGCAGGCAGCAGAACCACTGAGCTAGATCCCTGGTTAGTCAAACTTCTTAAAAGACTAAGCTACCCATACTGTCTTCAGATCTTCATTTCCCACTTGGATCTAAATATACTGGACTGCAATCTGGCTGATCTCTATTAAATCTCTCTTTTTTTCCTCAGTATTGGAGATGCTAGGCAAATCAAACCACTTAGCTATATACTGAAACATTTTTATTTTCATCAATATTATTTTTCTTTCTTTTTTTTGGTACCAGGGATCAAACTCGGGTCCTTGAGCTTGTGAGGCACGTGGCAGAACCACTGAGCTAAATGCCCCATCCCTATTAGTTTTTTATCTTTAGACAGGGTCTTAGTAAGTTGCCCAGGCTGACATTAAATGTGCAATATTCCTCCCTCAGTTTCCCAAGTAGCTAAGATTACAGGCTGTGTGCTACTATGCCCAGCTGTTAATAAAATGAATCACATCCTAAATGTAAAATCCAGTGAATAATTCAGTCCCATCTGTGATATGGTACAGATACTCTTATGCAATTTCTTTCTCATGAAACATTCTCTTAAAGCTCTGATTTCCAAGACATCACATTTTTTGACTCTTCCCCCTTCCTGAAATGTTTCCTTCTTTTTTTTTTTTTTTTTTTGT